AAGGCTTGTTTTGCACACTGGACCTTATGTTAATATTTTTTCGTACTTCTACAGGAGATATGAATGAGAGATCGTCAGAATTGAGGCACAGTAGGGTTGCACAACATGCTTATGTGCAGAGAGAAAGAAGTCAGGCTACCCAGCCTCCTCCTGCCTCCGCACCACCAGTACCAGATGCACCACCTACAACTTTACCCTTCAGTGTGCCCGTTTCTACTCCTTCGACGTCGACCACCCACAGCAGGTGAGATTCTCCTATTCATCCTTCGCCACTCCATCCTCCCGCAGACACACTTCCTCACCTAGCATATTTGAGGCGGGATCCACATCCGATACCCAGACGACACTTGAGGCTCATACATCACCACAACCTCAGTCCCATATGTCACCTGAGGCGGTTCCTCAGTCCCAGACGCCATCTGAGGCAGTTCCTCAGTCATCCCAGGCACCTGAGGTGACACCCGAGACTGCACCTAAGGCTACACCAGCAGCACCTGAGACCGCACTAGCTCAGCCTGCACCTGCGGCCCCTCAGGCTTTTGGAGGAAGACCGTCTGATTTATCACTTCTTCCTCTTTATCCCAACCATATTGCTAGATATATCTGGGACGAACATGTATGAATTTTGCATTTTTATTTCTATTATGAATTTTATTGTGAATTTTATTATGAATTTTGACTTGAATTTTATTATGCAGGAACGTGATACGCTCAAGGTCATTAGCCATGAGCGGAAGATCAGTAAACTTGTGCCGCCAGCTGAGCCATAGTTTGATGAGCTTTTACGACTTACCGAGTTGAAAGATTTGACCCTGTGTGGATAAAACATGGTCAACCGGGGTATGATCAACGTTTTTATTGAGAGGTGACCATGAGACGTCGTCGTTTCATCTACCACATGGTGAGATGACGGTCACACTTGACAACATCGCATGTCTGCTTCATCTACCGATCAAGAGACTTTCTTGGATCATGATAAGATCGACAAAGAGAAGGCATTGGATTTGTTGGTTCATAAGCTGGGAGTTACCCTTGAGAATGACCTGGGAGAGATTGATAAGACTCGTGGTTGCCACGTCAGGTATAACTATTTGACTAGGGTGTTCGCGGATGAGATTAGACGAGCACGAGAGGCTCATGGTGATCCCAAACCAAGTTACCATTCACAGGGGTTTGACATAAGAGCATACATTTTGTATCTTGTTGGCAGCATCAGAGCCGAAAATATATTGTCTATTTAAAACCAAAACTATACTTCTGATTTTAAGTCAAATTTTTCAAAAAAATTATACGAATCAAAAATATACTTTAGAATATAGAAGGGCATTATAAGAATTACATGGTATTTAATTTTCCCATATGGAATGGGGTGGGGGGTAAGAAATAACCTTGAGTTTTTTTAGTTCCTTCTTTACTATTGATGAATCTTGATTTTAATTCCCCCTTCCCATTTACGTATGTGGCTCTTCATCTCAACTTTGAGACCTTGTTGAAACTTGAAATCAAAACCGAAAAAGTAGATTACATGAACCTTGATTAGAAACGGTTATAACGTCGTCTTCATACCTCTAAACTCTAAACTAATATAATCCACAGCTCCACACAACTCTGTATCTCGCCGGATCTGAAAATCAATTCGAATCGGTTTCTGACACATTCTTCATCGGAGAAGAAATGCGTAGCCGGGGATCGCAAAACCGGCTATCTGGCAACTCTTTGGATCTCGTGTTTCTGCTCTCATCTTTACCATGATTGCTACCATGGCCACTATATATGTTGCCGGCCGGTTAGTTCTATTCGTTCTTCATCGTCGTCAATTTCAGTTTCGGCTTTTTGTTAACGTTTATCTTATGTTATGGCATTTGCAGGCTATGGCAGGATGCGGAGAGTAGGGTGTATTTAATCGAACAGCTTGAGAAAAGAACCGGTCAGGTATAATGTTAGTTTTCTTCATTGGAGTAGTCCCTAATATATGAATCACGGACACCAGAACATGACACTGACACTTACATGCTGACACTGGTAATAATTTGAAAAAATAAATAAATGAAATGAAATCACAAGTGTCGGCTTCGGACACAGATACAGACACACTTTTTTCAAGAGGTGATGGTGCTACATAGGTCGTAATCTATTAGCATTGACACTTCATGCTTAAAGCGTTTATGATGTTTGACAATTGTTGATGTTCAGCATGACACTGTTATTTATAGTTACACTCAAATACTTCTATTAGTTTCAATGTTGTGCTGTGTCAATTGTTCTTGTATGTGTCGTTGCTACGAAGGTTGCGTTGATATTACATTGCATAGCAAATATGTATGTGTTTTGACATTGGCACTGGCTATTTTCTATTGAGAAATGGATTTTTGACATCAAAATTTTGATATTGAATATGGTGTGCTTTGGTTTTTGTTAACTGTGTATCATGTTTAGAAAATTTTTGTATTCTTGAGTGCAGTTGCTTGTGTTTTTATTTCTTTTTAATTTTAAGTTATCGTCATAGGATGTCAATGAGGCAGTATAGTTCATCCGATTTCAGGGTCATTCTGCCGTATCTGTTGATGATACATTGAAAATCATAGCCCTGCAGGTAATTTTTCTTATAGGTTTGGTATTTTGGTTGCCAAATTCAATTTTGGCTGCTGCGTTTGACATTTACCCGAAGCTATTGTTAACATAACCTTAATTTTAGGGAACAACAAAAGAAGTTGTCTTCCCTAGAGATGGAATTAGCTGCAGCTAGAAAGGAAGGTTTTGTTTCAAAGCAATTGTCAGCAAACAATGAGAAGCATGCTACAAAAAAGATACTTTCGGTTATTGGAGTAATGACAACCTTTGGTCGAAAAAAGAACAGAGATGCAATCCGCAAGGCATGGATGCCGACAGGTACATGTTTCATTGGTTTGGTTTCATTTAGCTGGAACGCTGCATTTTGTCACTCACAGTTTTATTCATTGGAAGCCATGTTACGTGCATAAAGATTTTAGGGCAGGCTTAGGTTTTGTACTCTGGTTTCAAATTACTGAAATTATTAGCCAGTAGCTACTATTGAATAATCATGACTGTCTGATGGTTAGGTTTTCTTCTGGTTTATCATTTCCAACTTCGTACCTGAATGAAATATGACTAATAAGTTTAAACTGGGTTTAGGATGGATTCCTGCAAAGTCAGAACTCAGTAATTGACAGTTAGTTGTAGATCACTTCTCAGTTTCAAGCAATGCACTATTCTCTAACAACCTTTGTTACTCATTTCTGTGTCTTCATAGTTTATTTCGTTTATAAGGTTCTGTGCTTTATAATTTATTTTGGTTTATAAATGTCGGCATGATTAGTCATATGTTCAAATAAATTACACAATTAGTCATTCTTTGAAATTCTACAATATAAAATCTAGCTTATGTATTTTAGTCTTTTTTGTAGAAGCCTTATCTGAACACGCTGCTGCCTTATCTGCAGGTGCATCTATAAAAAACCTCGCAGAACAGAAAGGCATCATTGTGAGATTTGTAATAGGAAGAAGGTGTAATTTTGGAGGTTCAAATTAAAATTTATCATGTTAATGGCTTCTTAGTATTTTTATTTGATTGACAATTCTTTCTATACAGTGCAAACCGTGGAGACAGTTTGGACAAAGAGATTGAAAGAGAAAATAGTCAGACCAATGACTTCATCATTCTTGTATGTTGACTTCTATAATAATAGTTTTGTGCAAACTCTTGATAGGTGGTAAAATATAATAAATTCTCCCATGGATGATACATGTATTGAAAATACTTTATTGTAAAAAGTCTTGGCGTAATAGAAGTATGGATTTCAAACTTCTGTTTTTCAGTGAAGGCCTGTAGAAGCAACGGTAAGGATGGAGGTTAGACGAGATATAGAACAGCCCAATAGTTAGAGGTGAAGGGAAAACTAGGAAAACTGTAATCCATTGACTTTTGGATTTACATTGTCTATCATTAGATACGATCCAAGACAAGATAGGGTATTGTTGTTTGATTCATGTATTTGACCTTACTTAGCCAACAGTTGTTCTTCTTCCCCCTTGTTTATGGACTGGTTGATATATTGGATGCATGGCATGTAGTTTTATACACATAATTTAATATGTGCATCAAGCTGGTAGGTCAATCACACAAGTAAATAGGAGGCAAGGGAAGGAACAAACTGAAGGAATAGGTGGGGAAGGGAGTGGACCCAAACAGAAGGGCCTACTGGCCTATGAGAGAAGGAAACATGAAATGAGAGTGAGAAGGAAAAAAGGGTGGAGTGGGAAATAACCGCGAGAACAACTGGCATCATGTGAGTGGATAGGGGGAGGCGAGGATCATGCAGAATGAGGAGCGAGAGGGATATATGGGGAGTAGTGGTAGTCTACTCTAGTAGACAGTAACTGAATGAGGGTGTCTTGCTTTTGAAGGAAGTGGGTAGGCAAGACAGAGTGAAGAACAGTTTCTTCCTTAGGAAAGGGTTAGCAGTAGGTCTCTATTTTTTCCATTTTTCTTCATTGCTGTAACTGTAAGGAGTTTACATCACCCATAATCGGTTAATTTGCTTCCACTGTTTGCACACTGGAGTTTATTTATTCCTGATTTCATCAATTCAGATATAATACAAATAAGTTTTTTCTTGTTTCTTTTGAGTTCTATCACAATTTAATGCCCTAGCATTATTAGCTTTATCATTTTTTCACAGGACGATCAAGTGGAGGCAGTTGAAGAGAGTGCAAAAAAGACAAAGTCGTTCTTCATTTATGCTGTGGACAACTGGGATGCTGAATTTTATGCTAAGGTCAATGATGATGTCTATGTTAATCTTGGTATGTGGTCCTTAATTCATTATAAAGCATCTCATGTTAGATATGAACATAAGATTTGTTTCTTCTTGCAAAAGAGTTTAGGAGTTAGAAGAAATCATATACTATATACTTCGGTTTGCAAATAATTTTAGGGACTCCAGAATGTACCATTGGTTAAAAATAAACCGGGGAAATTCTTGGTACTGATAATTCATGGACAAGTTAGTTTTTTGACAGGCCCCTCCCCCGAAGTTAGATAAGTTTATTGAATTCCTAGAAAATTGTGAAAATTCAGAAGGCATTTGATCAATATACACATGCAACTTCAGATTAACAATTTTCTTTTGTAGGATTTAATAGGTGTGTTTCAGAATCTAGGTAGTGACATCACTTGTTAAATAAAATTATATCTGACTTGAAGTATTTACATGAACAAGAGGTAAAAGAAAAAAATGAGTGGTTTAACTGATTACATTTATGTTTTTTGATTAAGTATTTCAATCAGCAATAGTACTGCTTCAAAATGGGGAGATTTCCCATGTCAAGGAGGATGCAGAGATCTCCTGTTCTATAGCTGCAACTGGATTGAATTTGCGAACTTAAGTTTATCATCTAAGCGCCTCATCAAAATGTGATTTCGGCATTTATGCCATTTATTAGACCAAGCTCTTATCAAGCTTAAAGCTATAGATTAAAGTCAGAGAGTAAACCTTTTTAAGTACAAATTTTTCTGTCTAAGTTTACCATCCCAAACTCCACACCGATCTCAGTTTGATTCAATAACCTTGGTCCTTGCCAAAGAAGGAGGCTTTCCCACCTTGCCAACAAACTGAATAGGAAAACTTCACTGTCAATGTTATAGACAATTTATTTGTTTGATTGTTGACCCAGAGTGTCTTCAAATTTCTATCAGGTGTTTAGCGAAACTAGAAAATGAAATATGCTTGCCCACTTGTGATCCGACTAGGTTGATATCAGTTTTAGGAAAGATAATTTATAAGCATTTTAGTTTGCAAAGAGAGTTATGAGTTATGGCCTAGGCTTTACTTGTACTGTTTCTAAACATTGTTATTGTTTGCTGATGACATACTGGAATCAGATGGATCTTTCTTGTGACACTGATTGGATGACTTAATTTATTCTACAGATGCCTTTGGAGGAGTGTTAACTTCTCATTTGGATAAACCCCGTGTATATATTGGTTGTATGAAATCGGGCGAAGTTTTCTCCGAACCGTGAGTCTTGTCAAAACTCTTAAATATTTCATTAGGCTTATGAAAATAGTTTATTTTGGTATTGATATCTCCCTTTTCTCATTTTGTCTAAATCTTATAGGACACATAAATGGTATGAGCCAGACTGGTGGAAATTTGGCGATGGAAAATCGTGAGTAATACAGACTCAATTGTTCTTTATTTTTCTGGCAAGTACCAAGAACATTGGTTAAAGGAATCAAAAGTAGAATTTTTTTAATGGAAGTGTAGCTTTTGAACACCTGGATTTTTAAGAAAAACTCACCATATTTTATTCCTTAACCAGCCAGTGTCTTAAAGACACTAACTAACAAGACCCTTTTTTCCCTCCTCCTGACAACTGCTAACAAAGGGCACTTGTTAAGTTTTTGAAAATAAGTCTTTATTGGAATATGTAGTTTTTAGAAAAAATTATCAACACTAGTTAACAGGACTTTACTTATGGTGGATTGTTGATATTAAAGCCAAGAGTGAGACTGTCATTTTTTAGGATACTACTGACGGTATTTCTTGATTTAAGAAGAATTTCCAAATTAGTTTTTATTAACCACCAGTCTATATGACCCCATCATTTTAAAATTCATCTTCAGAAAAATTACTCGATCTACTACTGATAGTTTGAGTATAATACCTTGTCAAAAGATGTTTCTTGATGAGCTTGAGCAGCAATAGAATTTTGATGATAATTGGATTGTTGTCTGGATAAATGTGAAGGAATGACAATGTCCACTGAGACTATTGTATCACGTGTTAAATAGACTATGGTTTTTAAAACTATGAACACATGATGACATATACGTCAGTTAAATAGAATTGTCTTTCCAACAGTTTTCCAAAATATTGGTCCATTTTTTGCTTATCTTTTTTCGTACACTCTAAAATTACTATCCAGATCACGGGGCCAAACTGCTATATCCATAATTTTGCTTCTCTCTATCTGGCTTTTCCATGGTAACATTCATATATTAGTGTTTGTCTGATATCTATAGGTACTTTCAACATGCTTCAGGTGATGTCTATGTCATTTCAAAAGCATTGGCTCAGTTTATTTCAATAAACAGGTACAGTATTCCATTATTTTTTCTGTGGTTTTTCTATTTGTTTTCAGAATTTTGTGCATTCAAATGGTTGTAAATTATATGTTTTCTCGACAGATTTATTCTCCGTACATATGCACATGATGATGTAAGCACCGGATCATGGTTTATCGGGCTGGACGTGATGTACCTTGATGAAAATAAGTTTTGCTGCTCATCCTGGTCCACAGGTCTCTTTCTTTCTATCCTCTCACAATCACATACACATGCTTGGAATCAAAAGAGAAACTAATTAATTATAGTGGTGTCATTTTGATTGATTTTTTGTTTTTATTGGGATAGCACTACTACTGCAAATTTGTAATTAGACTTTTTAGATTAGATTGTTTTCAATGACTTAAGATTTACTACTAAGGTTAGGCTAACAGGATCACTTTTAAACAAATGGTGATGAATTTTGACCGTTTTCACTGTTCCATTGAAATTAATTGAATTGGGTATTATATATGTTTTCTTTCCATCTTTCAGGGTCAATTTGTGCAGCAGTATGACGACTTGTCACTGACAATATGAGTGATATACAAAGGATGTATAGAAACAGAAACCTGTTACTTCAACCATCATGCTTTTTTGCTTCAGGTGATTTTCCTCTCATATGATTGTGCAACAGGACAGGAAGTTGATTCTTTGAGTTGAAGGCCGGGAACTGTTGGTTGTGAGCTCTGCCTCTGTGACAATAGATAGTTAGATACTCACATACTTTTTGGGATTGTTCAAAGGCATTAAGAAATTGAAATTATTGTTGTTTGATTTTGAGAAATTGATCCTCCCCATTGAATTATGTAATATAAATTGCTCTCGCCCATTAAACTACACATTTTCCCCATTGGACTATTAGGGTAATTGTTATAGTAACTTAAAAAAAAAAAGTTATTACTACAGTTGAGATTTCCGTTGAATTCATTCTTGATTGTAGATTGGGGATTCTTAGATTAGATGACAGTCTATGTTGTAGGGTATGATCAACTCCCTCTTTTTTTATAAAAAAATATTAGTGGTTACTTAGGGCCAGAGAGAATTTTTTTTTTGAAAAGTCAAATTTATTAAGGGGCATAAGTGATGCCCACAAGAAACAACTAGTACTGAGACATTCCAAACTATTACATACTCCTATTCTGTCACGAGAGTAGCTAAAACAAGACAATATCTCCAACTCAAACTAACTCCATAAGAACCTGCCCAGTAAATTACAGAATATAAAAATAAATTAGACCAACAATGGTCCCGCGCTAAGCTCCAGCCCCTAACTATTCTACGGTCCCAACACACAATGCAACAAATGCAGACGTCATAGCAATATCCACACCACGAAGTGCACCACCCCAACTGTACAAAAACAACTCGACTCTAGCCAGCAACCGCGGAAATACCTCTAATCTGTCTAATCTGTCCAGCCAATACACGCTTTCGGATTTGATATCCACCGGAATAGATCATAACTAAATCCCTTGATTTTTGACTCAAGCCATCTCCAAGAAACAACTTGAATGTCAAAAATAGCATATCTGCTATGCAATTCAGTATTTTTAAAAATCTTTTCGTTGCTTTGTTTCCAAATGTTCCAGATAGCTGCAACCATATGATAGCGAACCTTTCTTTGAAAACTCTGCCGCCATTTGTAATACCTGTAAATTGTACAAAATTCTGCCAAGACGAGTTATGCAAAACAAACGTAAAGTCAAGCCAACTTAGGACCTCGTTCCATGTTGTCAGAGTCGGCGGACATTCGAAGAAAATATGTGAGATATTTTCCTCTTTACCGCAGCCAAACGAACATGAATTTTGAGATTCAACTAAGATGTCCCTCTTTACCAAGTTATCCTTACTGGATAATCTATTTTGCCATATTCTCCACGCAAGGATCGAGATTTTAAGAGGAACAAGACAGTTCCAAGCAGCCGTCAAATCTTTGTTAGCTTCTACGAGCGTCACCTTACTCTTCGAGATCTTTTGATACGCTTCCTTTACTGAATATTCAAACTTTCCCCCACCTCTACTTGTCTTTAACCCCACCCCTTAAAACACACTCCACCTAATTTACACTTGATTTCCTCCTCGAGTCTAATATTTAGACCTTCCAAGGAGGTTTCCCACATACCGGCCCATTTTGATGCCTCATTGGTTCTGCCAACCGCCTCTCTAACGGAGATAAACTTATCTTATGCATGCTCGAATAAGTCCGAGTAGCTACACTTTAGATCTTCTTATCCAACCACGAATCCCCCAAAACGAAGTATCCGTGCCATCACCAATCTCAACATAAGTATTATTCTCAAACCAATTTTTTCCGAAACTGTTCTCCTCTTTATCTAACAGGCACAAGTCTCTCCACCATAACGATTTGAATATGCAATTACTACTCCCATCCTCGCTCCGCCCATATTTACTCTTCAAATTTTTTGCCCATAACCTATCTTTCTCCGTTAAGAGCCTCCACTTCCACTTACCCACCAATGCTAAATTAAACGCCTTAAAGTCTTTTAACCCTGTTCTGGACTGGGTCGGGCTGGCCCAAGAGCAAGGATGAAGGCCCAATCCAAACGGCTTTGCAGAGGGTCACGCCGACCAAGAAGCTACAGTCGTGTCCACCACCGTCCGCGAGCGCGACATCCTCGACTCCATGCAGTCCAGCTCGACCTCAGCTCGAGCACCCCTCGTAGGGTAGACTATGACCATTACACCATCACCTGGATTCCGAAAAGACCGCGTCCTCGTCCGTCCGTACTTCTCGCATAACACCCAGGAAGGAGACCACGTGCGGGTCCCCACTACACACGTAGAACCTGGCAGTTCCTTCATTGGGCCAAACCTGCCCGACCCAATGAAGGGACCTTGGCCCAGCGTTAGGGGCTATAAATACCCTATGTTCCCAGAGGGTCAGGTATTCATTCTTTTACCATACACACACTTTCTTGCCTGCTCGTACTGCCACTTACTTTAGCATCGGAGTGCCTTGCAGGTACCCCCCCCATCTCGTTCAACTTCAGCTCGGAGCCAGTCGTGACGGTCCAGGTCTGATCCGGTAAGATCAGTGGCGCCGACTGTGGGGAACTAGCTTCCCCGTCTTGCAAAAACTCAAAGACCAAAGCTCAACTCAACTATCACCGTCATGGCTGACCAAGTTTGTGATGAACAAAACGTCTGCACCGTCGACACCAACAACGGCCTCGCGGATAAAAATGGACACCTTGATAACGCCGGTAACCCCGGTCACAACACCATCCCTGTGTCAACGGCCCCAGGGCCTTCAATCCACCGAGACGGAGCTACCGCTTCATCCTCCTCGGTCCCTCCGCCACTCGAAGAAGACGATGCAGCTCTCGCGAACTATCGAGCTGCTCAGTTCCAGGAAGTCCCCGTCCCCGCCGGGGCAGATGCCACAATCCGAGCGCTGTTCGCGGAGATCAATCAGACGAATTACCTCATCTTCGCCCAAGGGGAAAGATTGAGGGCACTTGAAGACGATCGAAGACCCCCGAGGAGGCACCGGAGGCCCCAAACTCCACCTCCTCGAGTGACTGAAGTCCATTCCCCGTCTCCCCCGCAGAGACATTACAGAGATACCTCTCGAAGCCCGTCGCCCCGCCCATCGGGGAAACGGCCCCCTTTGGAGAGGCAACCCATCATCGAAGCCGGAGGACGCGGTCGCGCCCCCGCGAGACAGGAAAGAAGACACTCCGGAGACGGGCGTGGAAGAATCAATCAACGAGCACCACGCTCGAGAGATGCCCAACACGACCAGGACCGTCGTGCCCAACAGTATTACAGGTCCCCATCTCTGTCCCCGGAACGGAGCGACGAGGACGACCCCCGCGGTCCCCTGTCGCAAGCTATTATGGAGGTGCCCATCCCCCCGGGCATGGAGAAGCCTCCACACTTGAAGGAATACGATGGAGTCGCGGACCCGGTCGACCACATAGACGGGTTCGAGGCTATGATGCACTATCACAACATCGGGGGGCCCATCAAATGCCGGTTGTTCCCCACGACCCTCAGGAAGGCAGAAATGGACTGGTACAAAGGACTCGCCACGGGGTCAATCACCTCGTGGCGGAACCTGAAGAACCAGTTCATCAGTTCATTCACAACATCTCGGCGACACCCAAAGACCGAGGCGGCTCTCGAGGCCATCATCCAGAGACAGGATGAAACCTTGAGAGAGTTCATCAATCGCTTCAACCGTGAAACCATACAGGTCCCCTGCGCGGACCACATGAAGAGATATCTGCTGGAGAGGGGGCTCCTCCTCGGCACGAAATTCAGAAAGGCCGTGGGCATCGAGCCACCTAGAATATTCGATGCCCTCCTCGAAAAGGCTCGGGCGTACATGGATTATGAGGAGAGAGAAGCGGCCAACAGAGCCCGAGACCCCAGGACTCGCGGGTCCAACAACAACCCGCGCCAGGAAGCTCCTCCTCCTCGGCGAACCGGGGAGAAAAGAAAAGAAGACAGACCCCGGGAAGTCCGAGAGAAAAGGGGACCCTCGGGGCGTTTTACCGAGTACACTCCGCTCACAGCTTCCCGCGAGCGCATTTTGGCGGAGTGTGCCAACATGGACTTCAAGGACGGCGACGTCAAACGTCCCCGACCTGCTTTCGCCAAGCCCGAAGCAGACAAGAACAAGTATTGTCAGTACCATAGGAGCCATGGTCATCTGACTGAAGATTGCGTCCACCTCAAGGACGCCATCGAAACCCTCATCAAGGGAGGGAGGCTCGCACAATACCGGCGAAACGACGCTCCTCATCGTGACGCCTGGGAGACAAGAGAGCCGGAGGAAGACGCCCGACCATCTGACGAGTCGGTCCCCATCCAGACCGCCTTCTCCATGAACAGACCCGAGGACTTCGACATCCCCGAACACCTGCGGGAGCCGCTCACAACACATAGCAGGTGGGAATATTTCCCCTCCGCCATGGTCATCAACGGCGGAGGATTCAACGACTTGACCATTAATTCGGCTAAGAGGAAGCTGGATGAGCTGGTCGACGCGACACCCCCGTAAACAGTGACATTTGAAAGGGTGAAGGGCAGGTCAGAACCCATCACCTTCTACCTAGAAGAGCTCCCTGGGGGAGCCCCCAACGTGGTCATCCCCTTGCTAATAAGGGCAAGAATGGCCAACTTCGATGTGCATCGCATCCTCGTCGACGAAGGAAGTTCCGTCGACAAAATGTACAACCAATTGTTCCGAACTCTGCAGCTGGACGACTCACATCTCTCGTCATATGTAGGGCCGGACTTACAGGGTTTCAACTGCTCGACATCCAAACCTTGGGGATATGTCGAGATCCTGGTTACATTCGGCGAGGGAACAGCGACAAGACAGGTCAAAGTACGCTTCCTCGTCATCGACTGCCCGTCCCTCTACAACTGCATCCTGGGAAGACCAACACTGGCAGAACTAACAACGGTGCCCTCCACCGTCCACCTGAAGATGAAATTCTACACCAAAAGGGCACGGGTAGCTACTATCTAGGGAGACCTAGCCGCTGCTCGGAGATGTTTCAACGCTGCATCTAAGGGACGCGACACTGTCGACGTAGGGACAAGGCCTGCCAAAAGACCAGCAACGACGCGACAAGAGCCCGACAAACAAGAGTCTGCCAAGGAAGAAGTACAGAAAGCTCCACCAAAGGTTGACTCTATAGCTCTGGACGCTCGTTTCGATCAGGACGAACCTCCCAACGACGAGCAAGTTCCACTCTGACCAATACCGGACGGGGATTTTGAGCTCGTCCCCCTAGGTACAGACCCGAGCAAAGGAGTAAAGATTGGCAAGGACCTCCCCGACCTGGCAAGGTAGCAAATCAAAGCCTGCTTACGCGAGAATGCTGACCTGTTCGCCTGGAGCGCCGCGGAGATGCCCGGACTCGACCCGGAGGTCGCCTGTCACCACCTCGCCATAGATCCTGCCGCTAGGGCCGTAGTACAACGTAGGCAGTCTCCAGAGAAAACGGAGGCTGCTGAAAAAGCTGTAAAAGACCTCCTAGAGGCGAATTTTATTTTTGAAGCCCGATATTCCACCTGGCTGTCGAACGTTGTACTTGTTAAAAAGAATAATGGAAAATGGAGGATGTGTGTTGACTATACCGATCTCAACCGGGCTTGCCCGAAAGATGCTTTCCCTTTATCGAACATAAACATGTTGGTCGACAACTCGGCCGGCTACAAAACGTTGTCGTTCATGGATGCTTACTCGGGCTATAACCAAATCCCGATGGCCGTGGGCGACAAACACTGCACAACTTTCATGACCAGCTCGGGCAACTATTACTACAACGTAATGCCCTTTGGACTAAAAAACGCCGAGGCAACTTACCAACGCATGATGAACAGGGTTTTCCACAAGCAGATTGGGGACATGCTCGAGGTTTACATGGACGACATGATCGTCAAATCCCGAGCAGACACCGACCATGCAGCACACCTCAAGGCAGTCTTTGCCCAAGCAAGACAAAGTAAAATGAGATTCAACCCCGAGAAATGCACGTTCGGAGTCAAGGCAGGAAAATTCCTCGGATTCTACCTAACAGAACGAGGAATCGAAGCCAACCCCGACAAGTGTTGAGCGTTCTCCGACCTCCCGACACCGACGTCGAAGAAGTCAGTACAAATCATGAACGGCATGCTCACATCATTGTCCCTCTTCGTCGCGAGGTCCGCTCAGTACGCCCTCCCCTTCTTCAAACTCCTTCGTAAAGAAGCAGCCTTCGAATGGAACGAGGAGTGTGAACGGGCACTGCGCCACCTAACGCAAAGTCTATCTCAACCACCCGTATTATCTCGACCATCCGACGGGGAGCCACTGTTCTTATACTTGGCCGTCTCAAACGAAGCCATCAGCGCGACTCTCATCCGCGAGACCACCAACAGATAGAAACTTGTCTACTTCACGAGCAAAGCCCTACAAGGACCCGAAAGCAGGTACCAACAGATAGAAAAGGTAGCTCTAGCCCTCGCCAACACAGCGAGGAGACTCAGACACTATTTTTTGGCCCACACAATCATCGTGCGAACCGACCAACCAGTGAGGCAACTCCTGGGTCGGCCCGACATGGCGGGCAGAATGTTGAAATGGTCCTTGGAGCTCTCCGAATTCAACATTCAGTACGAGAGTAGGAAAGCCCTGAAAGAAAAATCCCTGGCCGACTTTGTCGCGGAAATGACCGCTCGTGACCCACCCGCTGGGAAGGAATACAAATGGACCATCTTCGTCGACGGGGCCTCCAGCTCGTCCGAAAGTGGCACAGGAATCCTCCTAGAGAACGAGGAAGGCGTAGTGGTCGAACACTCGTTAGCTCTCTCCTTCCCGGCGTCGAACAACCAAGCAGAGTACGAGGCCCTTCTCGCAGGACTGAGGCTAGCCGAGGACCTGGGA